CTTTCAACGGAGATAGTCCTCGACTTAACAACGGAGATAGTCCTCGACTTAACAAGAGGTGAATTTAGTGACCATTCTGCATGACAACGGCACTGGAAGGAAAGGGACTTACGGAATGTGCGTTTCATGTTCAGGACTGTCGCAGCAACCCCCGTGGCCTCAGGATCAAAATTCAGATGCTCACAAACCAACTCGCATTTTGGACAGTCACAGCCCGATTACCGAAGGACAGAGTCGGGACTGTTCAAGCCGGAGACTTTTTACAGAATGACAGTATAATAAGAGTTGGAAGGTATCTTGGAGGTCATCCAGTCCAACCCCCCCTCCCCCCGGCCCAAACAAAAAGCCTCACATAGTTTTGTAGCAAAGCACAGGTATTGAGCTAGTAGTGCAGTATAGCCTAAGATAAGGAGAGATCACACCTTAATAAAAGCAATTTGATTAACAATTATTAGAACGGCACATTATGTTAAACGTAAATATGATGAATTTTATTTTATTTATTTTAATGTTATTATTTGATTTATTGCAAATTTAAAAATAATAAAGGTGTACGGACACCTGCTGCTGAATTTTTGTGAAGTGCAAACACAAACACAAACACACATACACACAACCGATGAGGGAAGGAGGAAGAAAGAGGAAAGAGAGGAGATGGGGAGAGAGGGAGGAAAGAAGGAGAGAGGGAAGGAGGAAGAAGGAAGGGAAGGAGGAAAGGGAGGAGTTAGGGAGAGAGGGAGGAAAGAAGGAGAGAAAGGAAGATGGGGAGGGAGGAAAGAGGAATGGAGGGAAATCAGAGGGAGGGAAAGACGGAGGAAGGGAGGAGGTGGGGTGAGAAGGAAGGGAGGGAGGAAGGAAAGCGAGGAGATGGGGAGAGGGAGGAGAGAAAGAGAGAGAAATAATGGAGGAAGGAAGGAGGAAGGAGATGGGGAGGGAGGGAGGAAAGAAGGAGGGACAGAAAAAAGGAAGGAGGGAGAAAGGGAGAAGGAAAGAAGGAGATGGGAAGGGAGAAGGAAGGAAAGGTGGAAGGAAGGAAAAGAGGGAGGAAAGAAGAAAGGAAGGAGGAATGAAGCAATGAGGAAAGGAAGGGAGGAAGGAGGGACCCCTTTCAACCCCGTGGAGAAACCAGCTTCTCGGGAGACGGAATCAGCTCAGGGAAACTCCGCCATGAAACTCTCCTGTGGGGGAGTTCCGGAGCAGGAAGCAGAAAGCTGAAGCGGGAGGAGACGAGCAAAAGACGATCCGTGGAGTTGCCGTTGCAGCGTCTGGAAGCTGGCCCGAGCGTTTCGCCGCTGTCCTCCTCAAAGCAAAGGACACAGCCAGGAAAAGTCCCAGTTTTTGGCAAAATGCTCCTTGTCATCCTTGAGCATCTCCTCTGTGTAGCAAGGCGCAGTGCGGTTCTTCTGCACCAGTGCATCAATCATGGCCATCAGCTGGCCCACCTGAGCTTCGTGCTCTGCGCCTTCAGCCTTGTTGTTAAATGCCAGGAAGCGGTTGCCACACTGGTACACCAGCTCCTTCAGGCCCACATTGCCTTCGGTGATGAACTTCTCCAGGGTTTTGCCCTCCAGATGCTCCTTGTGGGTGAAGAGAATGATCGTGTAATCCTTGCCCTTCAAGGTGAAGATCTCCTTGATCAAGCGCGCCACATGGGGGCCCGGGGGGCAAAACTTGATGCACTTCCTCACTTCGGCTGAGGTTTTCAGCTCAGGACGAGCCGTGTCGAGGAAGCCTGGCATGTCCACCACCACCACTTTCCGGCTGTTCAGCAGGGCCTCCTCCCGTTGGCAAGTCTGGGTGAGGGAGACAGGCGATATCTCGGATTCGAAGACCGGGATTCCCAGGATGGTGTTGCCCACCGCGCTTTTCCCCATGCCGGTTTTGCCCACCAGGACGATCCGCCATTCGGGCCCTACAAACCCAAAGGGGGAAGAGAGAGAAGCAGGGGGACTGATCAGGAGCACTGTAGATGACCGGGGTCAAAGGCGTCATCAGTTAAGAATCCCTGTGTGTTCACAAGCGACCTCAATCCAGCCCACCTTGACTTACTTTCTTATCTCCCTACTAATCTGACCGTTAGTACGTCAGATTCTTTTTTTTTTTAAACAAGTTTTATTAATTTCAAAAACAAACAAATCATCATCAACCATTACATATTTGAACCTTTTTTCATTATAAATTTTACAAGTCAGATAAAACCTTGTCTTATACAATATAATTCTATTTTAAACCATTTCTAAATGAACATAAAAACATCTCTTGTCCTCTATTTCTTTCTGACTTGATTATCGTCATTTTCTTTCTATGCTTCTAAAAGGTTTCACCAATACTTCTCAAAAACAAGCGACCTCAATCCAGCTAACCTTGACTGCCTTTCTTATCTCCCGCTCATTTCCCCCCTGACCGTTAGTAGGTCAGATTCTTGTAGGGAGCTTAAGCTTGCAATCAATCTTGATACTCATTTGAACTGCCCAAATCTCCTGATTTTCCTGCCACTTGATCTCTCTCTCTCTCTCTCTCTCTCTCATCTCCATCTCTTTTTCTCCATCTATAGCTATATCAATTATATCAACACCTCTCGATATCTATCTATCTATCTATCTATCTATCTATCTATCTATCTATCTATCTATCTCCATCTCTTTCTCTCCATCTATACCTATCTCTCCAGATCTCTCTCCCCTTCTCTCCATTTATCTCTCCCATTATATCATCTTTCCATCTCTCTCTCTCTCTCCTCTCTCTCTCTCTCTCTCTCTCTCCTCTATCTATTATGTATATCTATATATCTATCTCTCCATCTATCTCTATCTATCCATCTATCTTTCCATTTATCTTCATCATCTCTCTCTCCATCTAAATCTATATATCCCATCTATTTATCTATCCATCTCTCTTTCCATCTATATCTCCATCTATATCTATCTATCTATCTATCTATCTATCTATCTATCTATCTATCTAT